ACATATTTTCTATTTGTTTACTAGGAAAATCAGAGAAGAGTTACACCCTTAAGCTTAAATGAAAAGTAGTTCAGTATTGATAATTAATATTTAACTAAACTTTAAGTATGTGTTGTGCATATAATATAATTTAAGTTTTTTTTTTTTTTTATAGTTATTAAAAAAATTAAACAATACCTTAATTTTTGGTAAAATATTTGTACGATAAATGAGTCAATAAAAAATTTAAATACATATATATTTTTATTCAGTTAAAAATTAAATTTTATTTATATATATTTAAATTTTTTTAAATAAATAACTATTATAACTATAATTTTACTTTTATTTATTATTATTTGAAAATAAATAATATATATTTTTAAATGAGGTTATGTTGTAAGATGCGAGATGCTACCCTGGCAAATCAAAACTACTTCTAACAGCTTTTATACTGCTCTGTGTTATCGTTAATTAATAATTAAAATAAATAAAGGCAAATTTTTGTTAATTAACCAATTTTTTTCAAGACATGTTTATATTGGTTATCACTACATCAATTATTGCAATTGATCTTCTCTTAAAGTGATGAGAGCAAACAAAATTATATGCAAATACAAATACAAAACATGTACATACATACTTGTCTATATATATATATATATATATATATATATGTAGATTAACTAATTTATTAAGTTGGCTTTTGGATATACTGTAGGTAAGCTATGTACTGTACAGGAGGTTATCATTAATGGAATTTTTATAAGACCATTAAGATTAGTAGCCAATTAATGGATGGATGGATGTAATCAGTATATATAATATTAATTTTTATTTTCCCCACATGGGGTTTACTGAATTCGCTTCTTCTTCCAGTTTGATTGGCAATAATATCTTTATCTTTTTTGGAGACTCTGTTATGAACATTTTTATTATAAAGTTAGTTATTCAAATTTGAGGTACCTTCTAAATTTATATATATATTTTTATAAACTCAACATTGTGACATCTCTAACTATATATTCTTAATTTTTTCTTTGTTTTAATTAATATTAAAAGTTTTTAATTGATTAAATTTTGAGATTTTATATTTTTATAAATTATTTTAGTTAGTTAGAAATATTTGTCTTTATTGCTTAAATACGTACACACGCACATATATATGTATATTGATATTAGTGATAAAGATATCTAAAATAAAAAGATTGAGATACTATTTATATAAATCTGAAAGTTATATTGATTAAAAACTAAAGATGAGGGATAAAAATATATATTTCATATTATAGTAGTGTATTTAAATATTTTTTAAATTTGTTAATATAAATGGTTTACTTGTGGTGTTTTGATCAATAAATATTATATTTATGTGAAATGATTCTAAATTAGTCCCCTCCCATATCTAAAAGGTCATATTTTAATTTTATTGATATAATTAAAGGTATATTATATGGAGATTTAATTAATTAAGAATAATTAAACCATCAACGGTTAGTTATCTTCTTCCCACTAAGTAGATTAGTGGGTGGGTGAGGTGATGATTATATTTATACTACCTCAAATCCTAAGTTTACCACCCTATCTCCTCACTACTTAATAAATAAATCAAACCCTTAAAGCAGATTTCTGATTTTATGATGAAATGTTCCCTTCAAATTATAATTATTATCCTAATAATCAATCTGTTTTTATACATAATCATAAAGTTATTAAGTAATCGTAATTAAACTAATTAAAAAGAGAGAGATAGTAATTAAGGTGTAAAGGCTATATAGCCTGTAGGTAGCTAATAAATATGAAGTCTAAAGTAAAAAAGTGAAGATGCAGATGCGACTGCTTGGAGCTTAATTTGTCTGCAACTTACAAGCAACTCTTGTGGGACCCTAAATCATTATTTTATTTATAAATATAATTTAGATACTCATTAAAATTATGCACGTGCATGCTAGATTAACAAAATTAATTCTGATTAGAATGCCACTTCTATATGTGTGTGTGTATATGTATATATATATATATATATGAATTAAAAAAATTATTTTTGACTTTATACAAAAAATTATTGAATATGTCATAGAGTTTTATCATCATTTTTATGGTCAATTCTTTGAAAATTACAATTTTATTTTATCTTAATAAGTGATAGGTTAACTATTTAAGAATATTATATTTCTAAATATTTTATGGGCAAATCATTAATTAATCTTTAGATTAAGTTTTTTCATACATTCTTCTTAAATTTAATCTTCAAGATAAGCACTCTAATTACAAGTGTCACTGTTCATTAATTGCATGCGAGATGTCATCATGCTTCGGTAACAACCTGGAGGTAGCTAGGTCGGTCATGTGGCCACTAACAATGGTGAATATTAATATGCTTCTTCCTCACTTTTAACATATATGTATATATAGCATCTTGCAGGAAGGAGTATTGATCTTAAAGCACAAAAAAAAAAAAAAAAAAAAAAAAAGGGGAGAGATGCAATTTCAGTAAGTTGACGCAGAGGATATTATTGATGAATCCACCCATATATACACGTATGAATTGATGGTCAGGCTTCGGTTCATCTGGGGTGTAACCTTCATTTTCAAAGTCAAGTCTCCATTCATGGCTATATATCTACATCTCATTAAACAATATTAATAAATTTACATTAAATTTTTTAATTAAAACACGAGTTTAATTAGTGTATCCAAAAACGCAAGTGATTTAGAAGACCAATTATATATTAATTTGTAAAATATTGGAAAGTAATATACCTAATTATAATTGTGGATGAATTGGAAAGAAATGGTGGAAGAAGGCAGAGATAATGTTGGTCAGAAATTGGGTTTTAATTAGAAAGGAAAACAAATTAGGAAAGTAGATTCAAGAAGGAAAAAAAAAAAAAAAAAAAGGGGTGAAAGGAAAAAGACCGATCTCCAAAGTCGTGGGGCAGTCTATAAAAGAAACTCATACATAGTGGATGAACTGTGTACGATTGAGACTTCAAAATTTCATTCTAATTTTCTTACCTCCCACTACTCTACTTGCACTTTTCCTATACGTACATACATATACATATATATATATATATATATATATATATATTCCTTCAATTCTTATTCAAAATTCATCTTATTTCATCACTTCATTATCCTTTCCTGGTTGGATTAGTTGCATGGTACAATTTATTATATTAATTATATATCTTAAAAAATAAATTACTTAAAATAAATAAAATTATGTGTAATGGGTATTTTATTCGAAAAGCAAATAATTAATTTCTGTGGCTTATTTTTAAATTACTGATTGTAATTATCTCTTGAAAAAACGTGGCAATTGATAAAAATTGTTTAGAGGATAGACATGACATGATAGGCAAATATCATCAAGTTAGCTGAAAATTTTGTTTACTAAAATACAGTACAACATGTATTACTTACGAGTCAAGCCCTCCTCAATAAATGGAAAATGTATACTCACATTTACTTTCCTTATCTGCTAAATCCAAAATCGTGTAGCTTAAACTATTATGCTGACTTCTCACCCATCATCAATTTTACTTTGCATAAATATATTACATGATACTAAATTGAGCTTTTATATATAAATATATAAGATAAAAACTATAGGATTGTTTAATTCCTAATTTCGTTGGTTTTCAGTAGAAAATCATAGATGATAAAACTATACTTTATTTCATAAATATATTTCAAATATATATATATATATATATATATACTCACAATTATAAGAAAATGCGGAGAATTTCTCTCTTTCATATGTTTTTTTATTTTCAGTTTAATTAATTAATTAATTAATTTTTTAAAAAAAGAAAATATCCATATGTGAACTCTCTGTCACACTTGCCATCCATATCTTGAATTAGTGAAGCTTTTCAGTTGGATGGTCAAAGGGAGCAATGTGATGATTACCATGGAGAAAAAGAATCTTCATATCCGACGGTTAAGATTAACTGTTACTGGTCAACATATCAACAGGATCTTTTTTTTTTTTTTTTTTTTTTTAAGTATAAGGTTTTGAGAAGAATGTTCTTCTTGTTGACCGGAACCAAACTCTATAAAAAGCCAAACAGCAAGCTAATGCCAAAACCTCCCATAAATATATATTCACTATAGACATTTTTGGGATATTAGCAAAATTATTTTTTAAAATTATTAAAATAAATGTCCATTTACAATATAATTTGTTAAATAAGATTATTACTTCCTATATTTTTTAGAATATCAGAAGGCTAATAAAAAAATTCTCCAAATATCATTTTTTTTATATTAAAATATTAATATTTAAAAACTGAATAAGAATAAAATACGTTCAAATTAAAAAATATAAATATATTAAATTGAATTAAAAATTTATAGAATATAAATAAAAATTTAATACATATATGATATAAATTTAAGCGAATATAACATTCTAATAATTCCCTATTAGTCTCATGTATAATTTAAGTTATCTGTTTTATGATTCTTTTCGTCAAATGAAAATACAAATGTATAGTTATGTAATTAGAGATATAAGTGAAATTAATTTAAATATATATTAATATTTAAATTATAAGCAACATTTGTATATAAAATAATAAAGATATATGATTTAAGTTATAGTAAAATAAAGTTTGAAGTATTTACCTTAGTATATTGAGTGTGGATTTTAGAGTAATAAATAGTTGTATAATAAATTTGTGTTGCTCCATTGTTTTATACTCTCTCTATACAACAATTTTGTTTACACTTTCTCTTTATTTTTTGTACTCCTCACGTAGTGGGTGATGGAGAAGGTTGTTGTTAGTTAACGGTAGTTATTACACAATGGTAAAGAGATACATAAAGATATGGTTCTTCTAGCTACGTTCATATTATGTCATTCACCAACCCGTCTTACATATATATGTATATGTATGTATATATATGCATGTATAAATACCTAGACCCTGTTTCAATATCTCTACTAGTTTGTGTTGCCTTCTTTCTCTTAAGCAAATAGCTCTCTTACTTGATTTACAAAAGTCTTTGTGCTGGTACCGGACCTCTCGCCCTATGCTTTCTCCACCTTCCACTCAACAAGAAGAATATTAAAAAACCCTTGTTTAACACAAGTATAAGAGCATAAGAGGTCCTCGACCCATATATTTCCAGAAATCCAGGAAGTCCCAAATCTCTTTGAAGATAAGAAGATAAACCCATGTCTCAAATTTAATCTCACCCTAATCTCTCTACCGTATTGGTTTTTCCTCAGTGTTTTGCATGAGTTTTTGAGCATAGTAATTTTGTAAAAGTTGTTTCTCGAAACTGTTCATTTGTTTGCTTTTGCTGTTTATGGAGTACTACTTGAAGGAAGTGGAAGGCAAAAGGGTCCATGATCATTTCAACAAAAACATGGCTGGGACGACAACAAAGTGTGTATGGGTGCCTGGACCGATCGTGGTTGGTGCTGGTCCCTCGGGTCTAGCCACGGCTGCGTGTCTTAAACAAGGAGGCGTGCCTTGTTTGATTCTTGAAAGGGCTGATTGCATAGCTTCCTTGTGGCAAAACAAGACTTATGATCGTCTCTCTCTTCATCTTCCAAAGCAATTCTGCCAGCTTCCTCTTTTTCCATTCCCTGCAAATTTCCCCACTTATCCAACAAAGCACCAATTCCTCGCTTACTTGCAGGCTTACACCACGCATTTCGGCTTGGAACCTATCTTCAACACCACCGTGGTGAGCGCCCAATTTGATCGCCGGTGTGGGTTTTGGCGGGTGAAGACAGTGGGACTAAAACAGGAGGAAACTGAGTATGTTTGCCAATGGCTAATTGTGGCCACAGGAGAGAATGCAGAGGAGGTTGTGCCGCAGTTTCCGGGAATGAATGATTTTGGTGGGCCTATAATTCACACCAGCTCTTATAAGAGTGGCGAATTGTTTCGTGACAAGAAGGTTTTGGTCGTTGGCTGCGGGAATTCGGGCATGGAGGTTTGCTTAGACCTCTGCAACTACAATGCTCATCCTACCCTCGTTGTTAGAGATTCGGTAAGCATGCTTCAATCATCTCTCTTTCGCTCTTCGCAAAACCCATTTCAATTTCAAAATAGAGTTTGATTTCTGCTAACCAAAATTTAATAAACTAAATAGTAATCACATGACCATCCAGTTTCAATTAAGAACCTTTACGAACTCAATTCTATTTCTCGTGAATTAAGATCATTTATTTGTTAAAGACTTTAGCTTTTAGCAAAGAAAGCAGTAAACTTTCTGATGTAATGGTTCTAGTACTGTTCTTCTATTGCTTTTAAAAAACAGTAAAATTTTTTCTACTTTCTTGGAACTTGTTTGCATGCGCAACATCAACATTGGTCATATCAGTTCAATTTTTTTTATAAACCAGACCAGAGTCCATAATCTTTCTCTATATATATGTTTCTTCTTTCTTTCTGGAAAGAACCAAAACGAGAACTGTTCAGTCTCTCTAAAACTATAATAATATAGAACTGTTGCGACAAATCTTATTATTTTCACCACAAACAGCCTTTTTATATGTATGTGTACAGTGGCAAGTGTCTGGAGTCTTGTTAGAACTTTTCTTTTGTTTTTTTAATATATAAATTAATTAAGGGTTTCGTTGTTCTTGCAGGTGCACGTTTTGCCGCAAGAGATGGTAGGGAGATCAACTTTTGGACTGTCCATGTGGTTGCTAAAGTGGCTGCCCGTGCGTCTTGTGGACAGATTCTTGCTTCTCATGTCAGGCTTCATGCTGGGGGATACTGCTCGCCTCGGACTCAATCGCCCAAAACTTGGCCCCCTTGCACTCAAGACCAAGTCTGGCAAGACACCTGTTCTGGATGTTGGCACGCTTGCTAAGATCAAAACTGGTCATGTCAAGGTTTTTTTTTTCTTCGTCTTTTTCTTTCTTGCTGTATTCTTGAAATAAGAAATCAAAATTAGTTGCATTGTTAGTTACAATATATCTATCTATTAATTACACAGGTTTGTCCTGGAATAAAGAGACTAATGAACCATGCTGTGGAATTTGTCAATGGAAGCGTAGCAAACTTTGATGCCATTATTCTTGCTACAGGCTACAAAACTAATGTACCCTTATGGCTAAAGGTACTTAACTTTCAGTTCATCGACATAGTTGTATAATTATATAACAAAGGAAACAGGAAAAAAATTGAAAGAAGAAATTGATTTAAACGTTTATTAATTTTAAATATATTGGTGGTTTGGATTCTCAGGAAACTGACATGTTATCAGAGAAAGATGGATTCCCAAATGGGTGGAAAGGTGAACATGGGTTGTATGCAGTAGGCTTTACAAAACGTGGCCTGCTCGGTGCCTCCATTGATGCAAAAAGGATCGCACAAGACATCCATCACTACTTCTGGAAAGCTGAGGCCTCGTCTTTCATGGCTTTCCCCACTCGCCCACCACCCTAAAAGACCCTCTGCCTCTACATGCTTAAAGAAACCCGTACACTCGACTTTCTCCCAAGCTTTTATAAAAATGGTTGCTCAAAGGAAAATTTACAGTAGAGGAAAAAAGAAAGAAGAAGAAGAAGAAGAAGAAGAAGAAGAAGAAGAAAAGTGGTCATATGTCAATATTCTCATAGAATACATGAAACCTTGCAAGTAGGGTTTAGGAAACTAATTAGGTCAAGTTTGCTTCTTTTTTTATATTATTTTTTTCTTTGTAAAAAAGGGAGATTTGTTAATGGTGTCAATGTGTTAATAGTGTTGTAAATAGAAATTTTTGCGTAGGTAGATATATTTTCAGTAAATTGTTTAAGAGATGAATTGGGTCGATTTGCTGTCACAAATTAGAACGTAGATTAGATGCTTTGGAAAGTTGGTGGTGGAATACTATATATATATATATATATATTTTATATCAACACATATAGAAAGCCAACAAAGATGATTACTTTTCAATTTACCAATCAAAATATTGATATTAGAAGGAGCACCCAAATGGGTACTTGTTTTATTTTATAATAGTTAATGAACTATTAGTTTTTATTTATAAAAAAATACGTTAGATTCTTTTTTTTTTTTATTTTTTTTTATCACCCTAAACCATTGGATTAATTCAACTCAATCACTTATTTTATATAAAATCAGAGATTAGGATACATACTTCTTATATTGGCTTCTTTTAGTTAAACTTCAGATCAAGTCCTATCCTTTAAACCCAGCGATGGATGGAAATGTCGATAGATTTATTTCAATATTATCAAAATAAAATTTAAAGAGTATATATATATATATATATATATATAGATAATATTTTATAAAATTTTCAAACTTACCAAATCTTTTGATATAATGTTTTATTAGTAACTTAAGCTAATGAATTAATTATTTTATATTGATTAATTTTTAATATATCTTTTTACAAATAAATCATTTATCTTATTATATTACATTACTTCAATTGTGTTTTACCATCTAAAATTTCTTTATCATTAATAGATAATTTATATAGCTCAATTAATTCAATTCATGGAAGTCACATTTCGTATTTAAAGTCAAAAAAAAAAAAAAAAAATTAAAAAGAGAGAAAAAAAAAAAATCTTAAGTTCCAATCTCAGTTTCCAATAATTGAAAAAAGAAGACTTGATGATCAATACAGCTTAGAAAAAGACTGAAAATTACAAAGTATTGCAGGCGATGATGAAGATTATTAGGTACCACACACATGCATACATACATACATACATACATACATACATACATGTAATTTGTAGCTAAATGACAAAAATGATGATGTAGTTTATCCTTAATGAACATTCAATTGACCATCAGCTAACCTGCAAGGCAGGGACCAATTTTTTTTATATTTCTTTTGCGGAAAAACAAAAGAAAAAGTGATTTAAAAGAAAAGTACTGAAAGCAAAGGAAGCAGAAAAATTAAATCCTTTAGGCCATGGAAAGGTCTCAAAGTATGTATATATATATATATATATATATATATGTGTGTGTATACATGTAGAGAACGTATCACCCTTATCAAAGGTCCTCTTCTGCAGATTACCTTCCTAAATGTATATT